AAAAAAAATGTCATTGCAAGAAAGAATTTTCTGTGTTCAAACACAACAATAAAATGACTTTGCACCCTGAAATTAGTTTGGAATCTCAAAATCTGAAAATCCCCCGTTACGTTCTGTCTCTTTCTCGGATTGGTTAATGAGCTGAAGAGGCTCGGGTTTAACTCTTTGCAACGAAATAATCTAGAGATGGCAATAAGGAGTTTGTTAAGGTGTAGGTCAAAGGTCAGAAAAGGGCGAAAACAGCATGAACAGGGGAGCAGGGTGAACTAAAGTTATGAGACAGGACAATACAAGAGAACAGAGTACATCAGAACAAATAGTGGTATGGATAATGAGCTGCACGTAGACAAGACAAAGCGGATATAATAACAGCTATAGAAGGAGAAGATGTAGTAAATCATAAAATTTATCTTACAGCAGAGACGTTACAGGTCAGTTCTAAGTGCAGCATTTAGAATACAGCAGTTAGGCTTTTGCGTCTGTTAATCCGTTAGTCTTTTTCTTGGGTCAAAAAAATGGTGCCTTATTACGTCAAATCAATCGTGCTAGTTTCAAAAATGGTGATTAAGAGTGAAACTAAATTCAGTGCGCGTGACAATTTTGCGTAATTTTTGCTCATTGTGGAGGTCACACACTAACCTGTACGTCAAGGTGCAAGTGCAAATATTCAAATAACGAATAAACTCACAATCAAAATCTGTTTGTGTGGCTTGTGCATTGTTAAGGTCACACAAAACGGTAGATAGCGATGATACAGGTGCTTTGTTAGAAAACGATTTAAACGAAAAAAGTCATTGCGTGACAAAGTTGCGTGATTTGTTCACAATGTCGACGTCACACACTAACTGACCTGTGCATGTCACGTCCGTGCCTTAAGCTGTCTTCTTATTGGTTGTGATTCGGATCAGGAACCTCACTGAAAGCAGTGAGATTACAATTCATTTGTACACGTAACTCAATCAATCAAGTAACCATAGAAACAATTACCAGTTGCTGTTGTTGAGGTGGTTGTTGCAGCCTCGTTCCCAGGGTCTCTCATCTTCCCGTGAGGGTGGCAAGATGAGAGACCCTGGGAAAGAGTTTGAGTTGAGTTTGTAATAACTTTCTTAATCGTCAATATTATTCATTTGAATATATGTTTGCTTCTTGCTTCACAATTTTAAAATCAGCAAAAAGTTATTGAAAACAAAACCATAACGTCAGATATCACGATAAACTTTCTTCGCCGATATGAGCAAGTTTCATCAAGCAAGGTTAACATAGCTCTTAATATGATGCTAAGCTTCCGCTGCAGTTCTTACTTATTGACCTCGCGTATCGATTATTTAACGCCTGTACTTCATTTTCAGTCAGATTACAAGCTTGCGGCATAAACAAGTCAGGCATTTTAACTGCTTACAGCATAGAATATCATTTTTACCTAAGCAATAAAAAGAGCGTACCACAAATAAAGAGAAAGATGGAGAATACAGAACCCCAAAAAGAAAAAGTAGCTGTGACAATGTTCTAACAGACGAAAGGATGATTGCCTTTTGTGTGAATTTTTGTCTGAAATTTCAAAGCTTGGTAATGACCCACAGCACATGAAAAATCAAAGGAACTTTAAAGGTAGCTGGCTACACATACCGTATTGGAGGCGGAGTTGTTATAGGGGCTGCACTTGCCCTACGGATCCTGGCCTCCAATGCACTTGGTCTTCTGCATAGCAAATAAAAAGCGAGAGATATAAGCCTAGATATCAACCCTTCTAAATCGCTAGTTATTAACTGGTTTTTACGTTCTTGGACATCTAGACAATCATTGTAATTCTCATTCTGACTAGAGAAATTATTCACAGATCTCAGTTCGTTTCAAACGTTACGTTACTTTCCCTCGAAATCTCTCTGTCACATTTCCAATTCCCCTTCCTTTTCTCTTCTCTTTTCGTCTTTTTTTCCCCTGGCGTTTACCTGTTAACTCAATATTGGTCAAAGGAAGGCAAGCTTGTGAACACCAGGACAATCACAATCATTATACTGCCCAACGTCGCCAGTCTCAAATTCAGTGCGGACATATCACGATCTCAGTAAAGCAAAACTTCGTTTTAAACTTATATCGCGACAACACAATCACTATATACAATACGTCTGTCTTTTAGAAGTTCACCTTGGATCAAGAGAGGTCTGTTTGCTCTCCTTCGTGTGGCCTGGGCCGTATATCTTAGATAGGAGTTCGTCAATTTTGTTCGATGACCTGGAAAGAAACCGTCATGGTTGTTGGAACTCATCTAAAATTTTCAACCACTAGTAATTAAAAGATGGCAATGAAACTAGTGTTTGGATATTGGAAGTTGTTCAGCATCGATTTCAGCCATTTAACACTTCCATACCAAACGCAACCTCGTTCCCAGGGTCTTCTCCTGGAAGAGGACAGAGGACCTCGGGAACGAGGTTGTACCAAACACCGTTTGGGAATCGAACCGTGCCACGAATAAATGATCAGAGCAGAAAATTCATGTACATGTGTCCAGTATTGCTTAGTGCCAGGACTAGATCAACGAGTCCTTCAACATAGAAGAAATTTCTCAATGCACCAAGGATGAGCAAAGATTAACAAGAGTGAGTTGCGATATGAACTTACTTTGCGGGGAACAGAAACTTGAGCACTGATTCCAGTTCTTCCTCTTGAAGTTTGCCTTGTTGGACTAAAATCGAAATCAACTTTATGTTCTGAAAAAGACAAAAAAAAAGCAGTTGGTGTCTCTAGCTCCATTTTGCAGCTACCTTTCAAAACTAGTTAAATACGTATTAACAAACTGAACTGTCACAATTCCTAAGATTCCTAAGAAAATATAAAACCCTGCCTCGTCTAATGTCAATATTCTTGTCTAAATAAAAAGGGTTGCACTGACATACATATTTCTGCTCCCCCTCTGATGAGAAAGCCCTCACAACCCACACTAGTTTTATCTATTTTCACTCTCAGAACAACCATTGAAGGCTCCCAAAAGATCCTTAGCTAAAAACGCCTCAATACCACTGAAAAACAAACCACCCGTCGCTAAAAGATTGTTTAATAGCTTTTATCTGACTGGTCACACACTAAATGTTGTCTACAGACGAAAACGAGAGACCCAACGTGTAATAAACAGCAGCGCATGAAAGTACTCCACAGAAGCTTTAACAGGCTAATTTCGATAAATTCTAAAATTCTTGGGGTATTAATCTTCGATGTCATTTCTTCTACTTTACCATCCCCCACCCCCTCTTCCCTCCAATCTAAGCCACGGTGCCNTGTTAATATTTTCTTTGTCTGTGCTTGTTAAGTTGATTAGTATATTTTAGATTGTATTTGTGTTATTTAGATTATATGATTTGTAGTTTAGTCGGGTCAGGGAAGGGTTTTTTCGTGATATTTTTTAGGGGGTTGGGTGTGGGTGTATTAAACAAAGTAGGGGACTTATGTCCTATTGTTAAGCACCTGTACTTGTACGATCCATAAATAATAATAGAATAATACCCATTTTTTAATAGGTATCGTCCCCGCCTTTGCCGGCGTATGTGCGTTAAGGTTCCAAATGTTACGAACTGAGCGACGTGTTTACTAACAAAGAGGTGAAAAGCAAACCAACAATAACTTCAGGTAACCATCACATCGAATACGTACCTGTTTTGCCTTTTCGATCTGTAGTTTTGCTATTATAGCACCCAGTTTCTCGTGGTGTTCCTCGAGTCTTTTGGATCTCTCAGCGAGCATTTCTTCGCGAACCTGGAACCAACAGAACAAATGTAGTCTCGAAATATGTGGAGCAAAAATAGGCACGCAATACGAGCGAAATAAAAGTGTTCCTAATGACACAAAGTCCCAAGCAATAAAGATAGTTTCGTTGTCTTCTT